ACTCGTGTGGTCAGTCAGTTTGCGCGCTCTGTTTGTGCTCCTGGCCTGCCTTCCCTTGCCTGCCGCTTCTGATGAATAAATTATCGTGTTTATATTTCCCTGCTAATTAAGGCACGCATGAATGATTTCTCAGGCAGCGAGCGCCGCCAGTGTCGCAGCCGAACGCCGGTAATTCTGCTCGCACCACAGTCGACACAAAAGGAAACCCGTCCATCTATATTCAAGTTGGGTGATTTTGTGCCGTTTTCCTTGTTTGTGTTCCGCGATTTGCGTAATGGTTGATGGATCGCGTTTTTCTCTTTTAATTTGGTATTAGTTATTTTTAAAATGCCGTATGTAACAATTCTAGCAAAAATTGATCCTGCTCAAGCAGTAATCGACATAAATAAATGTTATGTTTGAGCAATCCATCGATATAACTTTACTTAATTCAAGTAAGTTTAACTATTGTTAACCTAATACCTAGTTTTGCAAATTATATTATTTGATAATCGTCACTTTTTTCATTAGGGTTTATTTAATTTATATATGTTTTGTAGATCAATTTTTTATCCAACAAGATCCAGTGGAGTTCATATATAATTTTAGTCGCATCTGCTAATCGACCTAGACGATGAACAATTTAAATGTTTTAATGAAATTAAATGTCTATTATTAATTTTACATATTAAAAGGAAATGTTCTTATATTTAATAAAATTTAAAAATTATAAAATTCAAGTTTTTAATATTAAAATTTTAATTATAATGTGTTTAAAAAAGTAATCAAACTTTTTATTTAAGTTCAACATAATTCTTAGAAAAATATAACTATTAAAAATTTTTTATTCACTAAAATATTGTACGTATGCAGCTGGTGCGGTCGCTGCGTCCTGCGGGAAGCCTACATTTCCAAGTCCTCGACTGTTCTTTGTTGCCGTTGATTCTGGAAAAAGTCTCGCGCGTCATCCGACTTTTTAACAGAGTAATAAAAGCGCTCCGTTGTTTTCCCTCTCTCTGGTGTGGCCGCCGCCGAAGTTTAGTTTAATCATTACAGACGAGTAATCAAATTTTATAGCTCTCTGGAATACGAACGGAATAAAAATTCAAAGAGTAGCGCCTCACCTAGACGGGCAATCCAAGATTATCCCAGGCTTCAGATACATTATATAAATGTTAATTATCTCGCCGGCTGGAATAAAAATCGAGGGGTGCGCGAGCGAGTCTTTGTTTCGAGTAATCCACCCTGCTTATTCGCGCGCGCTTTGATTTGTGCCTTCGCCAATAAGAAGAGCTTCAAAGGGTGCTGGATTTTAATTTCAAAAGGAATAAAATATACACATATTGCTGTTTTTGAAAGTTTTTAAAATAATGATAAGTTATTAAATTGTTTTAAATTTTTTAATTCTGAATATTAGAATGAGGCAAAAATTATATAATAAATTTAAATTTGAGATTGAAAACTATAGGTGATCAAAGCTTTAACCTATATTTGCTGAAAATGAAGCAATCTTGATAGTTTAATTTAAATTGATTTTTTATAATCAGGTTTTTGATGAAAAATGCATTTTTTTTTTACTTAAAATAACCTATTTTATATTTAGTTAGTTCCAAAAATATCCAGTAAATACACCAATATTTAGGATTCAATTTATATAAAACACTCCTAGAGAAATTCAATCATATTTTTGAGCTGAAAGACTTTACTATTTCTCGAAATTCCTATCGCAAAATTTTACTTTATATTTTTTCGAATTAAATTCCACCAGCGAGAAAAGCTACTTGGGTATTCTTGCTCAGATGTTGGGGGATGCTGGAGTAACGGGGTGGCGAGACGCTTTGAGCATTCGCCTCGCGTTCATTTCACTTTATACAAAAACCAATAAACACGGACCGGGGCATTATCACGAGAGCGCGGCGCACACAGAGAGAGAGAGTCAACCGGAAATTAGGATTTAGCATTTTGAGCAGCACCCGCGCCCGGGGAATTAGCGTGATTGGAAAATGCGGCGAACGAAAAAGTGGGCACAAAGGTAGGTGTTAATGCCGAGCGTGAGCACCCTCCGGGGCATAATATCGCAAATTTCGCACTGCATTATGCCGATGTCACATCACAAAAGCCATTTTCCGCACGCAGATTTGATTATTTTGTTTTAATTGCCTGCTGTTTTTGATTTTTGGTGCGACTCACGCCAATTTATTTATCAAAAATCAAACGGCGCGGATTATCATTATTGTACCACCTGCAGGCCTGTGTTTCGCACTCGCAAATGTTATTATCCCGGCAATTGTGTGCGGAATTAAAATGGCACTCGAAAGGCCTCTTGGCCGCCGGGCAATTTCGTTGATTGTGCTGCGGATCGCGAATTTATTAATTTTTATATTTTTCCCAACGTCATTATGTGGATTTGCAGCTTCTTTTTATTCGTCAGCGAGTGCCCATTAGCAGGCGGTGCGAAGTATCGGAAATTATTTAGTTGCTCCATAGGGAGCCGTTTCGGGAGTTTCATTCCGCGTCAGGTCCCTGAAGAATGCTCAAATGAGTGGCATGACAAGAGGTTATTTGCTCACTGCATCAAATAAAAATAAATATTGTCGATATTGAAATACAGCAAAAATTTCCATTGAAAAAGCGCAGGAATTGAAAACTACGGAGAAAAATTTTGTTGGAAACGATGTGGGAAGTAAAAATGAATTTGAAACTTCATAAAAGTTGGAGATGTTAAGATGTTTGAAAAAGTTAATAGGGTTAAATATTTTTTTAACCATTTTATACAGATAACAGTAAAATAATTTAGCCTATTAGCTGATTTTTAGCTATATATACATCATTTTAGTCTGTTTGAATCTGAAATTTCAACTGTTAAATTGAATTATAAATTTTATTAAATCAATATTTCGTTCAAATTTATTTCATAAAATGTAGCTAGAAGTCAATTTACAACAACAAATTCCTCTTTTAAAGTTCAAACAACCAAGCAGAACGCTTTTTGGAATTTAATTAATTTGTGGTTTTTTTTATTATTATTTAATTATTCTGTTATTCAACTGTTTAAAGATTGAACATGCCGCAAAACAAATTTAAATATTCTCATCTTTTAAAAAAATAAATAATACCTTTATTAATAGATTTACTCTGAATTCTAAAATATTTCAAAACAAATATTTTACTTTTTTAAATGTCGACTTCTTTCCAATGAAAACATGGATAATTTTAATTTGAATTAATTGACATTCATAATTTATAATGCTTGCTAATATAAACTTTTGCTTCTGACACATAATGAGAAAATCCGAGGCGCGCATTTCCGACCCTGAGGCGTGAGTGTGTTAGTTACTTTGCAAAGAAGGTGCCCACTTGAGCCTGCACGTAGTACAATGAGCGCACAAACACCCCATTCTTAGCCTCTCTCTCTTCAAACGGCGTAAGTTGCACATGTGCCCACGCATAATTATAATGTATTCACTCGCCCGTGGCCATCCTCGTGCCGTGCAAACTGCGACACAAATACTCCGTACGTCAGGTTATAAACAGGCGCACTTGCCCGCCGCCCCCGTTTCTTCCATTACATTCCGCACCCCCGAGAGTCAGCGACTGAAACAATGCCTGATTAAGAACAATAACCCTTGCTTCCTCCACTCGCGCTCTCTCCGCTCGGAACAAATGCGACCCGCGTGCACGCACACGGCAATGATGATTCTGATGATCGCCTCGAAAAGTGACGCGTTTTGTTTTTATTTTGGGCCTGAGATGAAGTTTGCTGAATTAATTATTGAGCTAATGTAGTAAATTGGTTGCTTCATTCCTTGCATAATTGATTTTCAATATTTTAATATGTTATTCTCAATAAAGTAATTTATCTCACATATTTAAAACATTGAGACAACTGGAATATTATTCTTATGGAGAACTATTATGTAAGATTATGGAATTGAGTAGTATTTAAAATATTAAATTCAAATAAAAAGCTAAAAAGTCTGGAAAACCAAATAAAATACCAAAAAATGTTACTATGATTAAAATAATTTTAATGTGTGTTATAATATTAAAAAAAAAATATTTTTTAAATTGCTTTTAAATTTAAAATGAATAAAATCATTTACATTGATAAAAACAAATAATTAAAAAGTTATTAAAATTTTTTACTAATTAATATTACCCACTAATCATAAAAATCCAGTAAAACAGACTTCTTCTAATGAAAACCATCTAACGACAGACCAAGTTTGAAAAATATCAGAAATTTGAAGAAAAATGGGCTTAAAATAACGCATTTTAAGAGATTTCAAAAATCGATTTCATTAATTTTTGAAATCTTTTTTAACTCGCTCAATTCCATTTTGCAATCTGATCATTTTACTATCACATAAACGAATTTTATTGTTTATTATTGTAGAATGGAGTTTTACAACTCTTTTATTACAACTCTCTGTTCTCATTGTTAATCGCAAAACATGCACGTTGGCGAAATAAATTGAACAACAGAAAATGAGCTTTGAGCTGTGCATATCTGCACAACGAGCACCTCGGGCGCGACAAAGTGCTGCAGGGTCCGCCCCTGGATTCGCCCACCGAGGCAGAATAAGCCGGGCGCTGCATATATTCAGCACATAGATGATGATGGCGACGTATTTATTTAATGTACTTGCAGCAACTTTAATTCCTAATTACATGCCACTCACATTTAAACTTTGCAGTCAGTGGCTCCGTGGAGTTTTAACTTTGCCCTGCTCTATGCTCGCTTGATTAATCTTCGCGAAACTTAAAACCACCACACATTAAACAAAAGCGGAGAACGGCGGCGCAGCATCTTAGATATTGCCCTGTGTGTAGCAGTGGTAGTTTTGTTGGGCGCGCTTGTTATTATCCTAAATGAGAAGGGTTAAGTTTGTATAATTAAGCGCACTAATTTTTATTAATTCAAACTTCAAAACTTTGCCCTATCTCTCACGCCCTCCCTCACTATCCGCTTAATGTGTGAAGACAGCGCACGTCTAACTAATTGCGCTAATTTGTTACAGGTCGGCATGATGGAGAAAATTCTGATCTCGGACGGCCTCAACAATAACAGCAGCAGCGCCAAAAGCACGCCAACATCCTGCCTGCAACATGTAAGTAGAAAGCCTAAATTTTAATTTAATGTAAGATGTACGAACGTTTAATCGTTTGATAAACGGCATCGTCTGGCTTAAAATTAAGATACAATATTCTAAGTGTCACATGGGTTTTTGGTAAAATTTTAAAACATATTGGAAAATTAAGATTAGAGGAACTGTTAAGACTAATTTTAACTTCCCTGACATTTTAATTTAAAAAAAAAAACATGATTATAAGCAAACTTCTTTCGTTAATTGAAGTGTATTTCATTAAAGAGATTCAGTACAACATAATTTAAAGTAAGTTCTGATTCTAAATATTTCACTATTACTCTTTTTCCGGAGAAAAGCCAATTAACATCGAAAGTTTTAATTGAATCACAAACATGATCAATTGTACGGTGAATTTTTAGATCGACTTTGTTTCAAATAAAAGACATAAAAGTAATTAAATAATAATAATCGAATTTCAGAACTTTAAAAATTGTTTAAACTTTACAAATTTGTCAAAAAGGATTTATAAATGAAAAATATTATTTTAATAATCACTATCAATATTTCAATATTCAATTTAAATATATTTGTTGGTTCACGATTAGTATCAAAATTCAAAATCAATACCTAATATGCAGTATTAATCATAAAAAAAATTTTAGTGAAAAAAAATTCATATTGCAGCTTCTTTTATATTACAAACTTCTTTTACTTCAATTATTTGGAGAGTTAAAATCGTTTGATTTTAAGACGTGGATAAATTAATAAGATCGCCATTTAATCGTGGATTTGAAACTTTGTGTTTTATTTTTTTAAAGTGATAAGAAATATGTGATTTGATGAAACAGGACGATTGAAATACTTATCAAATTTAGCAATTTTTAAACATTTTCATGATTAGAAGCTTTCACTCGTGGATTTGCGCGTATCACAAATTTCATTTCGCAATCACAGTTGAACAATTTTTCAATCGGGCGCGGTGCCACTTTCCTGCCGCTCGGTGCTTTTCAATTCGGAACCGATGGATTTTCCGTGCCCGAAATTGCCGTTTCCCCTTCAATTTCACAGTCAAAAGGGCCGACAAAAGCGCGCCACTTTTCACACCAACCGACTGTAAATAAATTTATATCAGCAATAATTCGAAATACATAAGTGAAAGCAGCCCATTGAAAACGCGCGCCATCTGCCGTTAGTCGCACGTGAATTGTTAATGAGCAGGCGAATATCACGTTAATATGCAACCGTGTGTGCGCCGCCGCCACCCTCACATAAATTAGGCCCTTTCCCGTCTAATTTCGCGTCAAACGGCGTCATTTATTTTTGCGCGTGTAGACGCTGCACACACACTGCTCTCTAATGAATAAACATAACCTCAGCATTGTCTAATGTGGTAATAAGCCCGAGAGTGCCGAAAGCAGGGGTGCGTCGAGGGTGGAAACAGCGCAGAAAGAGACACACACACATCCTCTGCTCGCTCACTCGCACGTCACATATTATTATGCACGATTCAATTAGATCTTTGTGAATCAAGTGTCTGCATGCCTGGTTGCATCCCCTCCTATAGCGCGCAACGTGTGACATTTGCACCCCCGCCGCCGCCGCGTTTTCACCCCTTTCGCGGGGTGTGTTTTATGCTGATTAGCGCTCAACCGACGCTTTGTTCTTCTCTTCTTCCATTCAAATGGCCGCCGGCGTTTTAATTTGCATTCGCAGCACGCGCTGGAATTAAAAAAAAAATTACCAATTCAACCCCCTCGCCGAACACTACATACTTTGTTCGTATTATTCGATCGCGTTTTATCAATAATCTAAATGGAAATAAGGATGCTGCAGCGTCCATCTCCCCGCCGTTGCTATTTGGTTTGGGAATTATTTATTTTCGCAGCTCGTTTTTCCCGAGCGAGTGCATGAAATCAGGGGTGGGCTTGACGCTTGTCAATCTGTCACTTTGCCGCGGGGGTGCTTTTTTCCCGCACGCATAGCAACAAAAAAGTGACTGTCGATTTTAGGTGTTATGCATGCGGGCGAATCGTGTATTGAACTTCAAAGCACAAAATACGCATTGTTTTTATGCAAGTTTTAGTTTGTCGATATTTAAAAATTATTTTATGTGCATATTTAATATTGTTGAACTAAATGAGGAATCGTAACACTTGGGGAGGATTTCATGGAAAATTAGAAATTAGAAATATGAAATTATAATGTGAAAATAGAACGTTTTCTTCGCTACTTTGGGATTTACAATCAGTATTACAACAAAAATGTTTCTTCCTATATATAACCAAAAAAATATTTTTCTTTTCAAAAAGCTTTAAAACATTCTTAATTTATAATTTTAAAACATAATGTTTTAAATATCATTTTAAAACGCACTGTGTTCTATTATTTAAATAGTATTTTATATTTTAAATTTAATTTTTTATTAAAATTATTTTTGGACTTTAAAACTATTTTAAATGATAATTGACGTGAAAAAATTAAAATTTAAACATGTTTTAATTATAAATAAATATGGTTTGGACATGCATTATGCTCTACACCCTTGAAATAATTTTCAATGCAATATCATCGTCAAAAATTCGTTTTAATAAATTCAGACAACTTGTAAGTAACGACAGATATGCTTCATATTTTTTAATCACGCTTCAATAAAAACTTGATGCATACAAATTATCAAATTACAATGGATTGCGCATTAAAAATAACTTATCACAAAATACAGATTATCGAAGACTGCTGAAAAATGGTTCTTTTAGTGGGAAAATAGTTTTAGAAATTTTATCTCGACGTAAAAATTACTCAGGCTACGTGTTTTTTATTTCTTTAATAAAAAAATCCAATTGAATCAAATTTAGTGAGTCATTTGTCAGACTGGAGGGCCGGGCAGCGGCCCGCAGCCCATTTGATTTGGTGAGAGTAATTTGGTTTATTCCGTGGTAATGCCGAATTTCTACAGAATTGTATAACAGCTGCTTAAATAGTTAAATTATGCTGACGATACAGAGATACGCGGAACTTGCTGATTAATTGTTAAGTCTCTTGGCACAGTTATTGAATGATGAGTGTCACGGTCAGGTCGGGCCCTGACACATTGGTTTTTTAATTGTATTTTTCTTTTTTGAGGCACCTTGATGTGAGTTTCAATTTTTTTTCCTCTCTTAAATCATTTGCTGAAATGTGTCCAGCTATTAAAAACCTGTGACAAGTGGTTACAAAGTTTGATGAAATTAATCTAAAAAAATGCTTTGGCTCAAAGTAAATAAGACATTTAATTTAATGATTCAAAATAATCACAAAATCTTTCTTTAAAACAAAAATTTACCCTCAATTTACTTTCAATCAGCTTGATAAAATTAGCAAAGGTACAGAATTTTCGGATCAGTAATTGAACAAAAAAAATTAACAGACAATCAAGTTGATTTTAATTATTGCCGCACTGTTTATATATAAAGAGCAAAATGAACCCGAGCCAAAGTTGCAGCAAATTTCTTCTTGTGTTGGTCCGTCTTTCACGACAAGAAAGCGGCTGTCCAGTGAATTGTGCCGAGCCTTGGGAGACGAGTGAGGGATGAGGGTTGTGTGTGTGTTTGTTGTGTGTGCAGCTCCACAGTTTGTTCCTCTTCATTCTTTTTAGACAGCCGGCCCCGAGCAAATTTGCCGGTACTTAGCTTTCTTTGCATGCTGCAGCCACTCTGGAGCGTCTTTAGAGAAATATAAGACAAATAAATACACACACACACACGTTTGTGAGTGTGCATAGAAAAAAATGGAAAGAAAGAACTGCCGGACGGTGGTGCAGATGCGGAGGGTATGAAACAAAATAGCAGAATAAATAAATTTCCGGCGGGGCGAGCGTCAAATTTGGTATTCATCGCGTATCATTTGATATTCCTCGGAGAAATTTTCCACTCGCACACACACACAGAAAAGTGACTTACGTAAGGAACATTGCCGCGCTGTTTCAAATTCAATAAATAAAACATTTCCTTAACTGGACGCTGTGAGCAGCATTTTTATTCGGATGTATTTATGCATTAGGTTTGACTATTTACATGCGTCCGCTTTTGTTTATTATTTATTTGCTGGCTCCGTTTTTGTATTTTATTTTTCTGTTTTGCTTGCTTGGCGTCGTGTTTTATGAATTCATTTATCTGCGTAACATGCGATCTTGGAATAATGCACAGGATGTCGGCCGGCCGAGGCACGTATTTGCATGGCTAATTTCCACATAATATGGAGATTGCAATTGTTTGTGATGTGTAGGGGCGCAATTTGTTGTTTTTTTTCTTCGTTCGGATATTAGCCTTGTTTCGACCGCAGATGCAAATGGTGCTGGATTATTCAAATCGCGCCGTCGCCGTGCAATGATTGAATTATTATTACCCTTTGAAAGTGGAGCAGCTGATTATTGCTGTTTAAGAATTTGAATCGGAAATCGGAGCATTTCGTTAATCCATACACATGACTTTCGAAACATTGCCAGACGGTGACCAAATTGAATGAGAGAGCAGACCTGGTATTCACAAAATTACAATATGTGACGAGAGTGAATTAATTTCATGACACTTTTAGAAACCTGAGCTCAATTCTGACTCAGTTATATATAAGATAAGTTTTAAATTTTTTTATTGTTTATTTATTTTTTCTGCAACCTAAAAATGTATTATTTTTTACATTAATAAAATTTATTTGCTAAAATTAACAATTTTTATAAATTTCAGCGTTAATTATTTACCTCTATTATTATTATTATTAAATTTCAATAAATTATTAATATATTTTTATAATTTAATTTAAATATAAAATATATGTATTTGTCTTGCTGACACATTACATTATCTTTAAGTTTTACTAACGTGGCATAAAAAGGAACCAATCAGCTTTATGATGTTAGATAGGATAATTTGTCAAAAGTAGTTTCAATAAAACAATGATTGCATTCTTAATTAAAATTTTAAGAATAGGATAGAAACAGATAATAAATAATTTGATTTCATAATCAGGTATTTAAAATTTGTATTTATAATTGATTATTTTATGTAACTTAAAATATTTATTTAACTTCACAAAAATTATCCTTTGACCACTCTATACGTGCAAAGTTTGCGAAAACTTTGCACGAGTTTTGATAGCCACGCATTTCGCTTCAAAAAGGCCAAAAATATCACACTCGGGCACACATAACGTGCCGGTGAAAGGCGAACCCGTGAGCATTTTTTGCAGATCAAAAAGGCAAGAGCGGTCGGCGGTGGCCATCCCTCCGCCGCTCTCCCTTTCACGAGCCAGAGAGAAAAAATAATAAAATAAAAAATCGAGTGAAGAAAATGAAATTGAGTGTGGAAAAGCTTACGTTTGACCCCGGCGCTCCTCTGGCGTAATAAAAATTGCGTTTTGTTCGCGGCGAGGGGAGTGAAAAAAAGTGCAGTGTTTGGCGATCTCATTATAAATTGGAAAAAAGCGGGAGGATGGAAAATATTATTATTTACCGAAGAGCCCTCGGGCGAAACAGTAGTGACCGCACATTTTTTTTTCATTTCATTTCGTATTCTTTTTGTTTTCACTGCATTATTCCTTTCGTCGGCACCCCTTTTGTTTATTTTTCATATTGAATTTATAATTAAAAAAATAACGGTGGTGACGCGCGGCGCCGGCATTATCATGATTATTGGAATAAATTAAGCGTTGTCGCTTCGCTCTTTCATTTCCATCGCAAACTTTGATATTAATAAAAAAAAAAAAAACGCCACCGCGAAACTTTGAACTGCCGATTGCGAAGGGGTGAGCATTTATACATTCGCCTCTCCGCGCAATGAAATTTAACAACCTGTGTATGCATATTTTTGCATTCGGAATAAATGAAAGAAAATCGGCGCGGCGTGTTTTAATTTATGCCGCTGAGGATTGGGCGGCGCCGCATGAATATTCAAGCAAATCAAACAAAATCCGCGGGCGCGTTGAAAAGAAGAATTACATTCGCTCCTTGCGGTCTGCAAACGACCGACCCTCTCCAACCCCGCATAAATTTGCCGCTGGTTTATTTATATGTATCGGGAATTATGAAATAAAATACAACTCTCTGAAGAATTGCAGCCGCCGCTGGTGTTTTTTTAATAATGAACTCGGCGCTTGATTTATGCCGCTGTTGGTGGCGAATGTGTGAAATTGCCCTTTGTGCCGCTGTGACTACAACCCAGCGAATTTATTTAATTCGTTTTCACGACATGTTTCAAAGCAGAATAGAAACGCACTTTTAATTTTTATAACGTATGTAAGAATGCACATTATAAGTAAATAATTTTATTAAATTCTTTATCTCATGCTGCAAATTTTTGCATAAAATTAGTAATATTTTTAATTTTTCCATGCAAACTCTCTAAATATTAAAAAAATTTCTACTTAATTGTTTGAAATTACCATTCAAGAAACAGAATATAAAGTTTCATTCTATTAAAATACATTATATTTTAATAATTTTATAAAAACATTTAATTACATACTAAATATTTGTGTCTGTAATTTTAATGTCAAAACGGTTAAGCACACAGAAAAATTAAAAACGCATGGATTCGTTAATTATCATGACTGATTTCAAATCAATTGTTTAATATCATTCATAGAGCATTCAAAGTATTTATTTTCATAAACACTGATGAAAATCAGATAGAAAACCTGAACGAGTGGGCGGCGAAATGATAGCTTTTGATTTTTTTACCGGAAGCAGAGCACGGAAAAAGGTCAAAAACTAAATAACAGTCTGCAGATTTTCCTCATATTCGCCAGGCACCGTCACACTACTTCCGTTTTTTTATGACGTGTCCGCATTTCGAAACTGCACAGCTCGCTCAGTACCGTCAGCAGTTCCAAACTGAATGTTGAAATGCACTTGTGAAGGAACATCTCGTTAATTTGCCATTCAATACGTTTTGTCTTTGAACTTTCACTTCATTATGCAAATATCAACAAAAATGTTTTGCGTGGTGGCCGCAACAGTGACGTTCACCATGCTCTTGCTCCATCGCTGCTCAATTGATAGATTTGAATTTGCAGGTAAATTTACAATTATTAATTTTATGTATAATAATTTGTAAATTTTAAATAGGCTCAAAATATTCATCCGCACTATTTGAGGAGATAAAATTTGAAGAAACGCATACAAAAGTCTGTGCAAAGCTTAATTCTGTTAACCATAAATTTCCAATGACTGAAACGCGGCCCTTTTCAGGGCAACGCCACCACAGAAAGTACCACCGTTGCGGACGATGGAAACTACAACGGCTTGGCAGACAATGACAAGAGATTATTGAAATACGCGAAAAGCATTCTCGTCCCACCACATTCTCGCTCAGAACCGTACAACTTAAAGAATGCCAGCATCGTAGATTATTCACAAGAATCCACTTCGATATTTATTCATTCTCTGTTGAAAAACAAAGTTAATTTCAAACAAAGTTAATTGAGGTGGATATTAATTTTCAATCGCAGACCAATGGATTCTTTGTTGAATGTGGAGCCTTAGACGGCGAGTGGTTATCAAATTCCTTGATGCTGGAGAAAAATTTCAACTGGACTGGCTTGTTAATTGAAGGTGGCGCTAAAAATGTTCAGGAGATGCTGAAGAAAAATAGAAAAGCGTGGGTTGCGCCGACTTGTTTAAGCACATCTCCAAAATCTATGGCGGTATATTTGACATTGAAAAAATTTAATCAAATCAAATTGCCACATTTAACTAGAAATAATTAACAATAATTTATTTATTGTTAAATTTTTAAAAACGTTTTGATAGCTTCTATGCAAACAGTAAATGAAATTCGTGATATCCAGCAATTAAAATTTGATTTTTCATTGCTCTAAAGGTCACATTTAATGACAACATATGGGCAGGACATATTCTGCAAAATCCGAACGAATCCAAAGCGGGTGGTTATGTGAACATAACTTGCATCCCTTTCAACACATTCGTGGATGTGCTGGAACTGAAACACATAGACTACTTCAGTCTGGACGTTGAGGGAAATGAATTGGAAATCCTTCGCACGATTGATTTCAAGAAATTCACAATTGACGTAAGAAAATTCCGAAAGTTCAAACATAATTTTAATGTCAAAACACATATTTTATTTAAGCTCATCTACTGATATAATTTTTAACAATGACATTTCTACCAGGTTATGGTTGTTGAGCATCTTAACGTCGGAAACAAATACGACGGGATTCTTCAAATTATGAAGGAGAATGGCTTCACCTTAGTTTCGAAAACTAGGCTTGATCTCACATTTATTCACAATGGAACAATTAACAAAACTATTTGATGCTCTCAAATTAAATTTATTCCTTGCTTGATCCTTATATTGCTATTTTATATTTGATTTAAATAAATTGATATCTAAGAAAGATTTTGTAAAAAAAAAAGAAAAATGTTAAAAGCGCTTTAACAGAGTTCTTTTTGTGTGACTATTTGTCTCTAAATGGTTTTTATAAATGACTCAACTTGATAAAACAAGGTGATAAAACAAAAATTCCATTTAATTTTATGAGTTTTTTTTGTCGCTGTGCTTGGCTTGGATTGGCTGGCAGTCGGACGACAAAGTTTAAATGGAAACATTCTAGATAACACAATGTTAAAGTCAACCAGAGTCTTGATGAAAATTAGGGAAACCTTGTAAATGCCAAATTAGTATTATATGGCAATTAAATTTTTCTTTCCCAAAACGTTATATTCAATAAATATCAGACATTATTTAAAATATATATACAAAAAAATGGTTAACTGCTGTCTGAGCTAACTGTATTTCACTTTCCACCGCTGTCTCTAGACATTTTTTTAAGATTGCTTATCTCAAATGCAGTGTAAAGGCACCTAAAAGTCACGCACCGCCACTCTGCAACCGCATTTTGAGTATAAAACATTGACTTGACGATTCCTCGTGCCAAAACTGCACACACTGTTGGAAAGGTCCGATTTATAAGTATATTTTTATTTGCACTTGCAACGAAACATCTCGTTAATTTGTTATACATCAACTTTTTCTACGAACGCAAACTACAATATGCTTCATTCAACAAAAATGTTTTTCGCGGTGGCCGCAACAGTGACTTTCAGCATGATCTTGCTCCATCGCCGCCAAATTGATACAATCATTGGAGGTAACTTTTCTTTGAATGTGTACATCAAATCTTCTATTATTCTACTAATTTGAAAAAAAAAAAAGTCGAGAAAAATACACCAGCACAATTTGAGGTGAACATTTTGAAGAAACACGTAATATAATACATTTTTTTCTAGAGCTGATTAAGCTTATCGAAAAATTTCCACCAGCAGAATCGCGGCTCTTTTCAGAGCCACCTCACAACAGAAAGTACTGCTGTTGCGGACAATGGGAACTACGATGGTCTCGCAGACAATGACGAGAGATTATTGAAATACGCGAAAAGCATTCTCGTCCCACCGCACCCTCGCAAAAAACCGTACAACTTGAAAAATGCTAGCGTTGTAGATTATTCACAAGAATCCACATCGACATTTGTTCATTCGCTAATGAAAAACAAGGTTTAAATATAATCAAACGTGTTGATGTTTATAATCATGTTTTAACTCGCAGACAAATGGATTCTTTGTTGAGTGTGGGGCTTTAGACGGCGAGTGGTATTCCAATTCATTAATGTTGGAAAAATATTTCAATTGGACCGGCTTGCTTATTGAAGGAGGTTCTAAAAACGTTAAGGAAATGCTAAAGAAAAAAAGAAAAGCGTGGGTTGCGCCGACTTGTTTAAGCACGTCTCCAAAATCCATGACGGTATTTGAAAAAAAAAAATAATAATAATAATAAATAAATAAAATAAAAGCCGAGCGAATTTAAAAGCGCTTTTTGTAAGACTTTGATGAAAAAATTTTAAAATTGTGAATTTCTGCAATTTAAAGACTTCATTCTTATAAACTAACTTAAATTTTCTTGTGAAATAGCCAAGATATGTTAAACGTAAGCATCTGATTTGATTATTTTGTTAGTTTGTTTTTGTACTTTTTATAAAATTTCCTTAATTTTTGTTCAAATAGAAAAATATATTTTTTTAATAATGAATACAAGTTCAGCTAATCTCAAAAGCTTTATCGACTGATGCTCGTGTTAGCTATCAAGAAAATCGCTCGGCACAACATCACAACAAACATATCATGGACAAGAACAATTTTTTCAACTTTGTATTTTTCTTCACTTTGTAAATTTTTCAATTCAAGCGATAACATATTCCAATCTAAAGGTCACTTTTAATGACAACTCATGGGGAGGACATATTATGAAAAATCAAAACGATTCAAAAGAGGGTGGTTATGTGAACATTACTTGCATCCCTTTCAACACATTTGTGGATGTGCTAAAACTGAAGCACATAGACTACTTCAGTCTGGACGTCGAAGGAAATGAATTGGAAATCCTTCGCACGATTGATTTTAAAAGAGTCACAATTGACGTAAGAAAAAAGTGCAATAATTTTAAAATGATTTGATAAAAAATTAACACGAAATTAATTCTCATTTCAAGTGCGTTTACGAATGTAATTTTTAATAATGGTATTTCAATTATAGGTCATGGTTGTTGAGCATTTTAATGTTGGAAATAAGCTAAACGAGATTCTTCAATCTATGAGGGAAAATGGCTTCACCTTAGTTTTAAAAACGGAGCTTGATCTTTACTATATTCACTACGGATCAACTAACAAAATTACCTGAAGCTTCTTGGTTAAAATTCAACTCTAAAACTCTCTCATATTAATGTTTAAAGATATAAGTTTCAAAGTGACGCTAATTTAAGATTTTGCAACATTGTTCAAAGAAACGCGAGTTTTTAATATTTTCTATTAACAAAAATCCTAATATTCGCCAAAATACAGAGATTCATTCGTTTCATCAGACTTTTTTGTGCGATCACTTCTTTTCTGATAATTTTGTCGACAGAATAAAACAGATAATTGTGGAAAATTTCAAAATTGTTTTGTTATAAACAATTTAGATTTGTAGTTATAAAATATTAAATTTGACAATTTTTTCGCTGTCTGAAGTAAATTTTGCACAGAAGTTCAAATATGAGCTTTGTATTTTGCTTGCAAAAATAAATTTTTATTTCTGTCCTCAATTTTCTTTTTTATTTGCATTTTCCAATTTGTTTGAATTTTCCCCCACGTTTCGTTATTTCTTTCCGAGAGTCTCTCGGGTAATAATCGCGGCGAAGTCATCCAATTTCTGACCTGTTGAGAGAAAGGGAGGGTGCGAAATTCACGCCGTCTCGTTTTCGCGCGATCAGGGTGTGGCCGTCGCTTCTCCACTCGGCCGCCGCTGACCTACACGGAATATTATTTGCATCCGAAAACAGTGCCGGCGGATAATGCAAAGGCGGTCGGTCGGTCGACGGAGGGTGCTGGAATTGTTCCAAGCCTGTGTATTATACTCACTCGTCTTCTTACTCACTCAGCATCACTCCCCCGAGATGTTGGCGCAAGAGATAGAATAATAACAAGCGCGCTGTCCGAGATGGACAGACCAATCAGAGAGCGAACGTTATTTTTATTATAATGCGCTATCGATTTTATTCAAATTTGCCTCGTGATACTTTTGAAACAAAGGACGTGAAAGATATTATTTTGAAAATGTAATCAATAAATAAAATTTGAGAATTAAATTTTGTTACATAAATTTGGAAAAGCGTATTATTGAATTTTGAAGACAGAGAATTTAGAATAAGCTGTGGGTCTAATTTTGCCTTTTTACCCTTAAATTCAGGTCTTCCTCTCAACCAATTCAATTTTAATTTTGTGATAAGTTAAAAATCATACAAGTAATCAACAATTTAATTACGCAAAATTAATTTTGAGAAAATTTAATATTATGAGATATAACGAGATTTTTATATCAACTTCACTGGGATATTAGTGAGGGATTATTCTCTTCAGGTTGATATTATAATATCCCAAGGGAATCAATGCTTTTGCAAAGGGAATTTTCAAGTAAGTAAGATAAAAAAAATTAAAATAAGCACGTAAACGGTTAAATAGAAATAATTTATGCTTAGAGAAACAAATATTTTTATAATGAATATGCTTTACATTGGAAATTTTTATTATTTATTTATATTATTTTATCTTATTTTTATTATATTAATATTTGATTTTTTTTATTTCACATAAAGTATTATATTTAGTTAATAGTAATATATAATTAAACACATGTTGAGGCTAATGATCAGTGTTAGAGCACTTTTAAAAGTGGTGATTTCTGATCAATATGATGGACACATTTTGAAATTTAAAATACGAAAATATTTAATATATTTACCTTCTTATAGTTGTAAAAAGTAATATTAGATCAAATATATTATTAGTATATCATCGCATAATTTATGACAGCAGAAAATTTGAGCAGAGCTGCTAAAAACTCATAAATGCAGTTGACGGCGCACATAATATCGTAACGAGATGCGGTGAAATTATTCCCCTTGGAGGAGTTTGTTGCAAATAACAAACACACGGGACGCGAGCAAGGAAAGAAGTGTGCAGCATTTCAATCAGATATAAACACAAGTGTCTGAAAACTTTTCCGATGATTCGGAGTTGCAGATAAACAGGGTCTCGTGTCGAGATGGCCGTTTAAATATTTACCCTTTCCCGAGAGCCAAGCCGCGCCGAGAAGTCTTTCTTTCTTTTTAGCATTTGAGGTCAAAGTAAAAATTAAATCACCTCACATGCACGTTGCGCCTGTTTAGGGATTCAACGGCCCAATTACCATAACATCACATCTCTCTCACTCCGCCCGGCTCCTTCGTCTTTGCGCGCTCTCTGCTTTATATTTGCATAAAGCCGCCGCCGCCACCGCTGCTGCTGTGTCGCTTGCATTTTATCAAAATATCGCCCGCTGTTTATCTGGTCACAAGTCACAGTCGCACCACAACTTGTCCAAAGAGTGAGAGAGGGGGGGTTTGTCTCTTTAACAACTTATTTTATCAAGCATACAATGCGTATATTAAAAAAATGGTTACTGTTAATTACTAATTATTAAATTATGTTTTATAAGTAACAAATTTTAATAAATGGAATTAATAAGATTTTTTTAATTTCTTTTTTAACAATAAAAATTTAAAAATAATTAAAATAACATTATTAACTATTTAATTTATCAAGAATCACTACATATTTAATTTTGGGCCAGACGTATTCTCACAAAATAAAAAATAGTAAAAATTATATTTAATATAGAATGTACATCATGAGTAATTATGAGATAAAGAATTTAAATAATTGCTGTTGAGCAGCTGAAAGTATGATTGATATTGAGAATTAATTCAAT